TTTACCGCTCCCATGAATAGAAAGGAGGCTTGTGCCACTAAGACTAAGGAAGAGAAGGGGTTGCCGCTTATTCTTGTGACGGGACAAATGCCCAATTAATTAAATCAAAGTCAAGCTGAAACCTCTAAAGCCAGGGAAAGAATTCCTTCTGTATTATACTGGAGGAAAGCAATCCAAATCAAATCAAGTACTGTAGCAGTCCGCTTCAAGCTGTTGGTTAGCTATTATACAATTTTATAAGCTATGCTTATTAAAGAAGTTTCCTTAATAGTTTGACGATACAGGACAGAGACTTTTAGGGATTATTTCAATCTTCCCTTAATTAAGGGATTTAGATAACATCCGGTCGGGAAAGAGCCACTACTTGGTTCAATAATGAATTGAAGGAATATATCCCTCTTCGACATCAGATTCTTATCCTCTTTTCCGGGGGAAATGATGTCTTATTCTCTACGGCCCAAGAAAAAAGTGGTCTGCTTTATTTTTTCTTATTCAGCAAGGGGTGTCGCTTTCGTTTTTCAATAAGGACGTTAGTAGGAGGTACTTGCCCTTAGAACCATAAAAGAACCATAAACATTTGCGAATCCCGGCCCTCTTTCGTTCGTCGTGATTGCTTTGATTGCTCTGAAAACACCCCCTCTCACTCAGGGGTAGCGATCAGATCTTCCTGCTTCAGCGGGCGATTCTTACCAACATTCCACTTTGAATGCTGTTTTCTTTCGCTTTGTTTTGGCTTCCATCCCTGACTTTAGCCCTTGCTTTCTTACGAAGAAGAGGCTTTCTCAGATCATAGGGGGAATAAGACTCAACAACCGGTCGTTCAAGTTCAAGAAGCAAACCTAGAAAAAGGGAAAAGTAAAAGACTTGGAGAATAAATAAACTTTGAATTTTGGCCAAAACAAAGAAAAGATTCGTGGGGGTGGCGCTGGAGTCAGATCAATCCGACGCGGGATCTATAGGCTCCGAATATCCAGTTTAGGATCCCCTTCTATAAGGGACTGGAACGGGCGAAGCCATTGGATTGATTAGCCATTGGGCGAACAGGAATGTGGTCGTCTAGATCGTACCTGCGGAAAGATTAGGTGGACCCCTATACATTCATGATGATTATACCGAAACCAATAGAGCGTTACAAGGAATTTTGGCCTAATGATAATGACAAGAGTTTCAAGTATGGGTGAAACCATAGGTGAAAGATAGCCTACACAAGCTAGGCCTAACACAAGGCCCCATATAGATTCAGCTTAGGGGTTTATGAGAGATTGATTGATGGACCTAAGCTAAACTTATATATAAGATTGAACCTAAACCAAAGCCTATAGACTGAATTAGGAGAGCAGAGGCAAGACCAGGAAAGCAAGCTATATCGAAGCCCAATGCCAAGCAAAGCCCTAGACTACAAGTTAAGAAATTGGGTGAAACTAAGCCCAACATAGGTTGTCCACCAAAAAGGTGAAGTTCCCGTGATTGAAGGTTTATGGATATCCTCCCCTAAGACGAGAGGGTTGGGCTTAGAACAAGACCCATCGGTGGATAAGATCACATCTTCATAACAAAAGGTGTACACGTTCGGCCTAACTCAAGGTAATGGGCCAAACCTAACGAGTCCAAACAAATTGGATCTTATTGTATGACAAAACCACAGATTGGGCTTAATATTCAAGGCCCAGAAAAGATGGGTTGAATCCAGAAAGCCTTACCGCTCTTATTCCGCAGCCTTTAGCACATAGCAGTCGACGCAGAAGAGAGCAGCCCTACAAAATAGTAAAACTTCCTTCCTGTGATGTTAGTATTCGTATTACATACACTGATGTAAGTGGAATCAATCACCTAAATGACATGATGAAACTGCCAGTGAGATTAGGAGCTTCCTGAGAAGAGTAAGTTTCATCATCCAATTCGCGCTCGCTCTAAAAAATAGATAACCTATGCGAAATCATTTATAAAATGGGTATATCACCCAGGATAAAATCAATTCTAGTTTATAAATGCTTTGAATCAATATTCATTGGAGGTTATCATGGTGTATACACTTGGTAGTGTCGTAAATAGTGTACAATCAGAGTTTCCTGCTGTTCGCCTATCTACTCTGGTTGAGCATCTTGATTCCCTCATTAGAACGCATGCTCGTTTTCCGAACGATCGCTGCCCACTCTGCAACGAGACCTCAAGGTGCCAGCTGCATCGTAACACAAGTCCTCCCACCAGGCCACAATTCATTCGACGGTCTGAACTCTTGACACCATACCCTTTGGTTTGGCATCAATGTTTTCTCAATGAGCTAGAACATCCGAATGCCAAGTTCCAATCAGCCAGCATCATTCCTGTTCCGCTTTAGCTTATCAAGCTCTGCACTGACACCACGCCCTCGGTATAAACATTTTCCGAGGTGATGGCAACTCGGTATGCGGAAGGATCATCACATCCAATAACTAATACCTTTCGTTGCCTGACAGTGAAGGTCTGTTCTGTTGTTGAAGCGTGAGGGAACGTCGAAGCT